CAGTTTTTTCCAAGCAGAGTTCAATGTCCTCTTAGTCACTTCCTCCCAAGCCTTACCTATAATGTTTACACAATTGAGGATGGTAAAATGATCTTTCCAAAACTCTCTTAGAGTCAGTTGAGTTTCTGAGGTCACTACAAAGCACCTTTCAAACATAGCTTTTGTGTACAGTTTCTTGAAGTTGGAAATAACCTGCTGGTCCATGGGCTGCAGGAGAGGAGTGGTATTAGGAGGCAAAAACTTCACCTTAATGAAGCTCATGTCCCTAGAAAGTCGCTCTGCCAAGTCTGAAGGATGACCAGGAGCATTGTCTAATACCAGGAGGCACTTAAGGTCTAATTTCTTTTCAGTTAGGTAATTTTTCACATTGGGGCAAATGCATGATGTAACCAGTCATAGAAAAAGTCCCTAGTGACCCATGCCTTACTGTTTGCCCTCCACAGCACACACAAATTAGCCTTGAGGACATTGTTTTTCCTGAACACTCTGGGAGTTTCAGAGTAAGCCTGTCTTTCATAGGCTTATGTCCTGGGAGTGCCTTTTCCTCCTGAGTAATGTACGTCCTGCATGGCATTTTCTTCCAAAACAGGCCTGTTTCATCACAATTAAACACTTGTTCAGGTTTCAGTCCTTCACTGTCTATGTACTCCTTGAAGTCCTGCACATATTTTTCAGCCGATTTGTGGTCCGAACTGGCAGCCTCACCATGCCTTATCATACTATGAATGCCACTACGCTTCTTAAATCTCTCAAACCAACCTTTGCTGGCCTTAAATTCACTCACATCAGTAGTTGCTGGCATTTTTCTAATTAAATCGTCATGCAACTTCCTAGCCTTTTCACATATGATCGCTTGAGAGATGCTATCTCCTGCTATCTGTTTCTCGTTTATCCACACCAATAAAAGTCTCTCAACATCTTTTCTATCACTTGCGATCTCAGTTTCGAAAACATAGTTGCACCTTTGGCAAGAACAGCTTCCTTGATTGCCGTTTTCTTGCCCACAATAGTAGCGATGGTTGATTGGGGTTTATTATACAACCTGACCAGCTCAGAGATACGCACTCCACTTTCATATTTATCAATGATCTCTTTCTTCATCTCCTTAGTAATTCTCACCCTTTTTGCTGTAGGGTTGGCACTAGAAGCTTTCTTGGGGCCCATGGTGACTTATTTTGCAGGTGCAATCACTAAAAAGGCTGTGATAATGTGAAATGTTCCAGTTGTATGTTTGGAAGCGACCGCGGTGGCTGGCTGGCTTGTAAACACTGGCACCAAAGGGACAAGTGAGGCGCGCTCAGGCCAAAGTGGACGCGTATGGTACGGAACGAATTGCGCTGGTCGGGTTTTTAAGCGCTAGTCGAGGCAAAATTTTTGCGTTAAAATGTATCGCTAGTCAGATTTATCGTTAATCGATGCCATTGTTGGTCGAAGGTCCACTGTATTACTCCTGTTTTATCGATTGAGCACAAGAAACTGCCCAATCAACTATTTCAGCTCCCCAATAAAGTGATCAGAAATTGGTAATTTGGGCAGTTTCAAAGCTCAAAATATTGCCTCTCCTCACTTAACCCTTTGACTGTTACGGTCATATATACAGTAGACCCTCAACCAACGGCATTAATCCATTCCAGAGAGCTTGCCGTTGGTCGAATTAATTTTCCCCATAAGAAATAATGGAAATAGAATTAATCCATTCCTGACACCCCAACGTCTGGAAAAAAAAAAATGTATATGAAATATAAATTTCCTGACACGAAAACGAATGGGACATGCAAAATAAACAATAATTAAATGCCACTTACCTTTATTGTGGAGTTGTTGATGAGTGATGTGCCAGCAGCAGGAGAGATTCAGGATTGTCTATCGCTTGGAAGGAGAATCCTCTTCCATAAAGACTTCAGGTACCAAATCCTTTGGTGGGGTTACCTCCCTTCTTGGTTTTTTAATGCCTTTAGGACCAGCTTGAGAGTCGCTGGACCCCTGTCGCACAAAATAACTGTCCAGAGAGCTCTGTTTCTCATGAACCCTTAGGATTTCCCTAAAATGGGACACACGAGTGTCATTGTACATGTTGCCAATGCGGCTTGCAACTTCTGTGACAGGATAAAATTCATCCATAAATGCTTGCAGCTTTGTAAACATTGAACACATTTCCCTAATCCTTGACGAAGTCATCTTCCTCTGTCTCTCTTCATCCTGCTCTGAAGAACATTCCTGAGATGTGATCTGTTGCTGTTGCACCTGAAGCTCTTGAAGGTCTGCAGTGGTTAGTTCTTCCTCGTCATTCTCCACCAACTCTTGCACATCCTCGTCACAAACCTCCAACACCAAGGACTTCCCCAATGACACAATAGTTTCCACTACTGGCATAGGCTCCTGAGGGTTAGCCCCAAACCCTTCAAAATCCCTCTGTTCTACACATTCTGGCTACAGTTTCCTCCAAGCAGAGTTCAAGGTCCTCTTAGTCACTCCCTCCCAAGCCTTCCCTATAAGGTTTACACAACTGAGGATATTGAAGTGATCTTTCCAAAACACTCTTAAGGTCAATTGAATGTCTGAGGTCACTTCCAAGCACTTTGGAAACACTGCTTTTCTGTAGAGTTTTTTGAAGTTTGAAATGGCCTGCTGGTCCATGGGCTGGAGGAGAGGAGTTGTATTAGGAGGCAAAAACTTCATAACGAAACAAGACTCCCCTGCAATTTCCTCTTGCAAGTCGTGAGGATGAGCAGGAGCATTGTCCATTACCAGGAGGCACTTGAGTGACAATTTCTTTTCCTGGAGGTATTTTGTCACAGTGGGGCCAAACACACCATAAAACCAGTTCAAGAAAAAGTCCCTAGTGACCCTTGCCTTACTGTTTGATCTACACAGCACACACAAATTACCCTTGACGATATTGTTTTTCTTGAACACTGGGAGTATCAGAGTGATGCACCAATAAAGGCTTCACTTTGCAGTCACCTCTAGCATTACTACACAACATTAATGTCAGCCTGTTTTTCATAGGCTTATGTCCTGGGAGTGCCTTTTCCTCCTGAGTAATGTAGGTCCTGTTTGGCATTTTCTTCCAAAACAGGCCTGTTTCGTCACAATTAAACACTTGTTCAGGTTTTAAGTTTTCAGTCTCTTTGTATTCTTTAAAGTCCTTCACATATTTTTCAGTTGCATTTTTGTCTGAACTGGCTGCCTCTCCATGCCTTACCACACTGTCTATGCCACTACAAATCTTAAATCTCTCAAACCAGCCTTTGCTGGCCTTAAATTCATCAGCAGCAGCAGCACTATTTTGAGGCATTTTCTTAATGAGATCATCATGCAACTTCTTTGCATTTTCACAAATTATAGACTGAGAAACACTTATCACTGGATAATTGTTTTTCATTTATCCATACCAATAACAGTCTTTCTACCTCTTCACTTATTTGCGGTCTCCGTTTTGAAAACATACTTGAATCTTTCGCAACAACAGCTTCCTTGATTGCCTGTCTGTTCGCCAAGATAGTACTGATGGTTGAATGTGATTTGTTGTATTGCCTTTCGAACTCGGTGATATGCACTCCACTCTTGTATTTTTCAATGATTTTCTTCATTTCTATCGTAATTCTTACCCTTTTTAACACAAGCTTAGCACTAGAAGCTTTCTTGGGGCCCATGGTGGCTTATGTAGCGGTTACAAGCACTAAAATCAGTGGAATAATTCAAAATATATGGGAGGCACACGTGGAAACCGACCGCAACAGCTTGTAAACAATGGCACACCGAGTGCTGGAGTGGCTGAGCCGCCCGCTCAGGCTGCGCTCTGGGCACATGGACATGTTATGGACGGACGTTGTTGGTCAAGGCATTTTTTTTACAGCAAAAAGCGCTGTTAGACAAAATTGCCGTTACTTAATGCTGCTGTTAGTTGAGGGTCAACTGTATACGTCTTAGGAGCCAACGTTTTTGATGTACAGTAGACCGTCATTTAGCACAGTAGTTACAATTAGAATATTCTTATCTAGATATGCAGGGGAGTCAGTGGTACCTTTAATCTCACTAACAACTGAAGTGAATTTGTCCTGGAGAACAGAGAATCAATTTCCTACCTTCACCTCTTCTCTATTAACCTTCCTTATCATCCTTCTTCCTGAATTATGAACCACTTGCCACTTAGAGGCTGTCACTCTCCAAATCACTGCTGGTAACTTTTTCCTCCTCACCAGCAACATCCATCTCACACTCACTCCCAAACCCATCTAGATGAAGCTTCAGCCTCTTATTTTCCTCCTGAAGAAGTAGAATCTTCTTCTTCAACACTTTAATGTGAGATTCTAAAACACTACAACAAGCCATGGTGCTAGGTAACACCCGACGCTAATCCCAGACAGGTATGACCACATGTGACCACTGAGGTCAGCAGTCACGTGTGGCCACATGTGGCCACTTATGGCCACATCCATTTCAAAGCCACTAAACTCGGGGTCAGCATCACTTTTCTCTTAAAAGGGGAGTGTTAATATGACATGACATTAGTGAACCCCTGGTGTTTGCTGTAGCTGGCACTCAATTGAACTGATGCTCCCACAAGGTACTAAGTGGTCCCAAATTTTTTTAATACTGACCAGGCATCTGAGGCCAATTGTGCCAAATTTGGAGGCAGGAAAAATAAAATGTAGATCTACGTTCGGAGCGCTAGCAGTAAGAGCGTAGATCTATGTTTGGACAGTTAAGGGGTTAAATAAAAGTTATTTTTGGACCACAATAAATCACAGATGACTAAAACAGCAGAAATTGAATACGTGAATACAGGGTTCTACTGAATAAGTAGATGAAAAAAAAAATGAGGGCATGCTTGTAATGACTTAGTTTCGAGGTTGTTAAATGGTGTAAAAAATATAAATATTCAGTGGGACCCACTTGCTTATTTGAAAATGTTCTATAATAGTCTTGCTGGGTTAATTCTCGTATTTAATATATCTGATTTAAAATGTTTAATTTTAATATTTGCTTTCAAACAGTCCAGTTGTTAGTGACCTGATGAAAGATGGAGATAGAGCACGTGACCACATGGACAACCCAGTGAGTGCAACTGTGCAGCTACAGATTCCTCTGCAGTCACAGCAAGGTAAATTTTTCTCTCTCTCTTTTGGTATTTTTATCAATTTCATTGATGTTTTTTCCCCACATGTTTTACTGTAATATACATTACTTCATCCTTTTTTTTTACCCTAACCCTTTGAGGGTCGCCAGGCCCTCTCAGAGACTTGTTCTCAGGGTCGCCAAAATTAAAAAAAAAAAAAAATTCTTATGAAAAGATAGAGAATCTTTTTGCCGATCATAATGACACCAAAAGTATGAAATTTGATGGGAAACTTACGGAATTATGCTCGCGCGAAGTTAGCGGTCTCGACGATGCTTACTCATCGGCAATTTTGCCCACTTTAACCCCTATTTTCGGCCAATTCCAGTGTACTAGTTGACAAAAATCATAACTATTTCGCTAGAACTCCATTTTTTCTATCGAATGAGTACAAGAAACCACCCATTTACCGAATTAGCAATTTTGCCAATTTCACACAAATTTCAAAAGATGCCAATTTCCAAATAGGGTCCAGAATAAACAAGAAAGACATTCCTGGCACTAAAATAACATTTCCTCTGTTCATTAGCCACATTCTCACGCCCCTCTTACATTTCTTTTGCTTTCCACTTTGAATTTTTATTCTCACAAAAAATAGAAGATTTACTGTTATGCAGACTACTGTATTAGTGTAGAAATGGTATAAATAATACCAGCGCACTTGTGAAAGAATATTAGACTCCCCATTTGACGTGTATTGGACGCGTGGCATGATTCGTTTACTTTTGAACTTTGGCAAAAATCGAACATTTCTGCTACTTTGAGCTCAATTTCAAGGTACTTTTCATTGTGAAACCAATCAAAATCATGTCAATTTCTGTAACATGTCTTCCATTCTATAAAATAAGACCAGGAAAACTAGAATACAACAATAAATACCATACGAAAATACAGTGCAAAGTCGCTGTTTTAAACCAAAAACACGGTCAAAGTTTTTTTTTTTCTCATTATACACTGTGTGATGCAGGATTTTTTTTTATACTGCACACACTGACCACATAGACTCATTCTTTCATGTGTAGGCCTACCAGCTTTCTCTCACTAGATTTGAGGGCGCTAGAATTTAGGCGTACTAGTACGTCAAGAACCCTGTCTTGTAAGCCATACTAGTAAGGCCGAAACCCCGAAAGGGTTAAAAGATTAATTTTTTTTTTATCCATGACACGACTTCAGTGTTTTTTTTTTTTTTTTCTGTCTTTCTTTCTTTCTTTCACATTTGCCATTTCCTACCGAGGCACTGTATTTCCCCCATCTAGAACTGCCTGCTGGTTTCCCTGTATCCCTTCATAAATGTTTCTTTGCTCACACACCAACCATAAGTCATATTCAAAAAAGCACTCTTCTCAAGCCTTTCCATCTAAAACCACCTACAGTATAAGTTACCTGAAGATGATGCCAGAGTCACCAACCCCATGGCTGTCCCTGACCAGGCCTTCACTCCCTTAAGACTATCTCATGGGTAACTCACCCATACAAGTGTTATCATTCCTATGATCTGGTACATTCCCATTTTTACCTCCATAGATGAATTTTTCTTTCCATAGATGTCTCAACACTCCACCTATCTTTTTTTTTTTTTCTGTTTATTCTTAACCTAGGCCTTCTTACACTGCTGGCACTTTCATTCCTGAATATTTAACTACATTCACTTTCTCTTAACATAAGAACATAAGAAAGGAGGAACACTGCAGCAGGCCCGTTGGCCCATACTAGGCAGGTCCTTCACAATCCATCCCACTAACAAAATATTTGCCCAGCCCAATTTTCAATGCTACCCAAGAAGGCGAGGTAGGGGTCATCCTCAAAAAGGTTGGAAGGAAGGGGTAAGGCAGGTTTTGTGGGTGAGGGGCTTGGACTTCCAGCAGGCGTGTGTGAGCGTGTTCGATAGGAGTGAATAGAGATGAATGGTATTTGGGGCCTGACGATCTGTTGGAGTGTGAGCAGGGTAATATTTAGTGAAGGGATTCAGGGAAACAGGTTATTTTTATATAGCCGGACTTGAGTCCTGGAAATAGGAAGTACAATGCCTGCACTTTAAAGGAGGGGTTCGGGATATTGACAGTTTGGAGGGATATGTTGTGTATCTTTATACGTATATGCTTCTAAGCTGTTGTGTTCTGAGCACCTCTGCAAAAACAGTGATTATGTGTGAGTGAGGTGAAAGAGTTGAATGATGATGAAAGTATTTTCTTTTTGGGGATTTTCTTTCTTTTTGGGTCACCCTGCCTCAGTGGGAGACAGCTGACTTGTTAAAAAAAAAAAATTCTATTTACCCATGTGCAAGTCCCAGTGAAATCCAACCCCTCTCACTCATATATTTAGCCAACCTAAATTTGAAACTACCCAAGGTTTTAGCCTCAATAACCCTACTAGGCAGACTGTTCCACTCATCAACTACCCTATTTCCAAACCAATACTTTTCTGTATCCTTTCTAAATCTAAACTTGTCTAATTTGAATCCATTACTGCGGGTTCTTTCTTGGAGAGATATCCTCAAGACCTTATTTATATCCCCTTTATTGATACCCATCTTCCACTTATACATTTCGATCATGTCTCCCCTCATTCTTCGTCTAACAAGTGAATGTAATTTAGGGGTCTTCAATCTTTCTTCATACAGAAGATTTCTAATGCTATGTATTAATTTAGTCATTCTACGCTCAATGTTTTCTAATGAATTTATGTCCATTCTGTAATATGGAGACCAGAACTGAGCTGCGTAATCTAGGTGAGGCCTTACTAATGATGTATAAAGCTGTAATATAACCTCAGAACTTCTGATGTTTGCACTTCTTGATATATATCCCAATAATCTGTTTGCCTTATTATGTATGGTTAGGCATTGCTGTCTTGATTTAAGGTTACTGCTTATCACAACCCCCAAGTCCTTTTCGCAATCTGTATGGCTAAGTTCTACATTATTTATAAGTGCTAGGGTTGTGGACATTCCCGAGCTTCAGAACCTTACATTTATCTACGTTGAACTGCATCTGTCACTTTTCTGACCAGGTATTGAGTTTGTCTAAATCCTCCTGAAGTTCCTTGATATCTACGTTTGAATCAGTTATCCTACCTATCTTTGTGTCATTGGCGAATTTGCTCATATCACTTGTAATTCCCTCATCAAGATCATTGATATACATTATAAACAAGAGTGGGCCCTAGACTAATCCCTGTGGAATGCCACTTGTTACAGATCCCCACTCAGATTTAACCCCATTTATGCACACACTGCTTCCTGTCTGTGAGCCATGACTCGATTATGCCTTTCATTGTCTGGACTTTTACTTATTCTCATCATGTTGCTCTTTTGTATGTTTACATTCACCTAGCTACTTCTACACATCCTCCCAAACTCATCCATCAACCTTAGAAACGTGTTATCAGCAAAGAGCAACTGTGGCAATTCATACTTTTGCCTCTCCCAAAATTGTTACAGTATTTGATTTTCTGAACCCTGATTGTATATACAGTAGGGCCCCGCTTTACGGCATTCCGCTAATAGTACTGACATTTCAAATTATGACCAAAACTCTATATACAGCTCCCCCAACTGACTTTCTAATACTGTCACTGCACCCCACCTGGTTTGTTTACATTCTCTGTGAGCTCCATAAGCACCACGTCTCTCCATTATGTCTGGAAACTCCAAAATTTAAAGTGCTTTTAAAAGTTTTTTTAATGTTTTATATATACAGTGGAACCTCATCTTGCGAATTTAATCCATTCCATGACCTTGTTCGTATGCTGATTCAGTTTTCTTCATTTAAATTAATTGAAATGCAATTAATCTGTTCCAGCCTCTCAAGAGGCATGACAAAATAATGCTAATATCAACTCTACAGCTTAGTTATCTATCACAGTTCATCTAATATGACATAAACAATATTAATAATATAGAAATATGATGCATACTCTAGAATGAATAAAGTAGGCCATAATATGGCAAGTGATGACGATGCCAGCAGCAGCAGAAAGCATCCGCCATTTACTCTCCCACTCTAGTATCTTCCCAGTCCATAATCCCACACCTAGCTTGTATTTATCTATGATTAGTGGTGAGGTAGTCACATATGTAACCACAGATGTGGTCATGACAGATGTATATATAGGTGAAGACATGATCATTGGCCACAGTGGTGGCCACAGTGATCATGTCTTCCCATCTTCCACTTAAACTGGCAGGTAAGACACATAGGCAACATTTAGGCAACTTTATTCCAAAACGTTTCACCTACACAGTAGGCTTCTTCAGTCGAGTACAGAAAGTAGGCAGGAGCAGTAGAGATGTGAAGATGATGTAATCAATCCATCCCCCTTGAAGTCGTAGATTTGAGGTTGTCAGTCCTTCAGCCTGGAGAAGTTCTGTTCCAAAATCTGGAACTAACTGAAGATCAAGCGACAGTATTGAGACTTAAATACTGTTGGAAGGAGAGGCGCAGAGTAGTAGTAGTGAGAATGTAGCCACTGAGCAGTCACATCCCTCTCAGATCTACGACTTCAAGGGTGATGGACTGATTACATCGTCTTCACATCTCTACTGCTCCTGCCTACTTTCTGTACTCGACTGAAGAAGCCTACTGTGTAGGCGAAACATTTCGGAATAAAGTTGACTAAATGTTGCCTATGTGTCTTACCTACCAACCTGTCGGTATTGTATACCATTTTGATATTCACTCTGTCAGACACTGCAACACAATGGCATCTTGGTACAGAAGAGAAAACACCTTGGATAAATTTTTCAAGTGAGAATTGTTTGATCTGAGAGGGATGTGACTGCTCAGTGGCTACATTCTCACTATTACTACTACTCTGCACCTCTCCTTCCGACAGTATTTAAGTCTCACTTATCATCAGCAAATTTACTTATGTCACTCATAATCCCTTCATCAAGGTCATTAATGTAAATTATGAACAAGAGAGGGCCTAAAACTGATCCTTGTGGAATGCCACTAGTGACTAATCCCCATTCTGATTTGACCCCATTGATTGAAACACACTGCTTTCTATTGGTAAGCCATGTCACTTGATCTTCAGTTAGTTCCAGACTTCGGAACAGAACTTCTTCAGGCTGAGGGACTGACAACCTCAAATCTACGACTTCAAGGGTGATGGACTGATTACATCATCTTCACATCTCTCTTGCTCCTGCCTACTTTCTGTACTCGACTGAAGAAGCCTACTGTGTAGGCCAAATGTTTCGGAATAAAGTTGCCTAAGTGTTGCCTATGTGTCTTACGTACCAACCTGTTGGTATTGTATACCATTTTGATATTCCACTTACACACTTTGATCATAAGAACATAAGAATGGAGGAACACTGCAGAAGGCCTACTGGCCCATACAAGGCAGGTCCTTAACAAAACGACCTCTACCCTCTATTTCTATAATATGTTTTCCATTCTATCAAATGAGACCAAGAAAACGAGAATACAACCATAAATACTATATGAAAATAGACCACAAATTCAGCATTTTAATTAAAAAAAAGCTGTAGTTTTTTCTCATTATGCACTGCGTGCTGCAGGATTTTTTTATATGGTGCACACTGACCACACAGACCCATTCTCTCACATGTGGGCCTACCAGCTTTCTCCTGCTTGATTTGAAGCCTCTAGAATTTGAGTATACATCAAAAACGGTGGCTCGTAAGACGTATATATACGACCAAAACAGTCAAAGGGTTAAAGGCTCCCCATTTTCATTTATCCCTGGCACCCCAAATTTACCTACTACTCCCTCCACAACATTTTTGCCCACTTTAGCATTGAAATCCCCAACCACCATTACTCTCTCACTTGGTTCAAAACTCCCTATGCATTCACTCAACATTTCCCAAAATCTCTCTCTCCTCTTCACTTCTCTCTTCTCCAGGTGCATATACGCTTACTATAACCCACTTTTCACATCCAGCCTTTATTTTACCCCACATAATCCTTGCATTAATACATTTATAGTCCCTCTTTTCCTGCCATAGCTTATCCTTCAACATTATTGCTACTCCTTCTTTAGCTCTAACTCTATTTGAAACCCCTGACCTAATCCCATTTATTCCTCTCCACTGAAACTCTCCCACTCCCTTCAGCTTTGTTTCACTTAAAGCCAGGACATCTAGCTTCTCATTCATAACATCCACAATCATCTCTTTCTTATCATTTGCACAACATCTACGCACATTCAGACATCCCACTTTGACAATTTTCTTCTTATTCTTTTTAGTAATTATTACAGGAAAGGGGTTACTAGCCCATTGTCCCGGCATTTTAGTTGACTTTTACAACACGCATGGCTTACAGAGGAAAGATTATTATTCCACTTCCCCAAGGATATAAAAGGAAAAGTAATAAGACCAAGAACTATTAAGATAAAATCAAAGAAAACTCAGATGAGTGTGTATAAATAAACATGTACAGCAGGGCCCCACTTATACGGCAGGTTAGGTTCCAGGCTACCGCCGTAAAGCGGAAACCGCCGTAAAGTGGAACACCCTTTTTTTCCACTTATAAATGCATACAAACACTAGATAACAAGTTTACACTAACATATATTAAGTTAGCAATAGAACCAGGCATCAAAAAAACAATAAAAAAGTACAATACACACATAGTGCACTCATTACTTACCTTAAAATATTTATAGTCTTAATCTAGGGTGAGACAAGTAGTATTTATTGTAAGAAATCAAGTGTGGTATGTATGGTAATCAGTCAGGCTACCTTACCAGGCCACCCCACCCACACATACTATTCTATGATATTTAAGCATCCCAGAGCGATAAAATGTATATACAGTTCACTCATTACTTATCTTAAAATATAGGGTGAGATGAGTAGTATTTATTGTAAAAAATCAAGTGTGGTATGTATGGTAGTCAGCCGGGCTACCATACCAGGCCAACCCCACCCACACATATATTCTATGATATTTAAGCATCCCAGAGCGATAAAATGTATATACAGTTCACTCATTACTTACCTTATAATATGTGTAGTCTTAATGTAGGGTCAGGAGTAAGTAAATGAGATAAAACGAATAAATGAGAGAGAGAAAGAATGAGTGGATGAGAGAGGACAGGCGCAGAGTTATGTAAACAAACCAGGCGAACGTAAGTTTTGTAAACAAACGAAGTGTACACGTCTGGTTTGTGTACAAGTTACATTGTGTACAGGTTGTCTCTACATTGATACGGTAGAATTAATAAAGAAGAACACTCCCATTCTCATGTAGCATCATTTTGAGAAGAAATGAAGCTCTGAGTGAAGGCAATGGAAATAAGTTACTCTGACTTTTTTGGGTTATCCTAGGTTCTCTACACATATGTTGTTATGTATGATAATCTATGTAACTGTATTTGTGTATACCTGAATAAACTTACATACATACGAAAGGAATAATTTTCTACAGTTACCCCCAGTAACACATTTTCTCTTATGTTAGATTAGAGAAAATGTTATTCTTGCCGTCACTTGTACAAGTTATGTGGCTCCCACATCTTATATTTATGTTTATTTATTCTATTGTGGGATGTATTTATCATCTTTTTATGTTATGTATCGTGTTTATTATATAATTTTGAAAAAAATATCATGGATGGATTAATGAAAATGTGTATATTTAACGTAATATACGACATTTAATGAGACTCGGTGAGTATTGTTATTATTATTATTATTATTTCTAATATGGCGTCACTTGTGCAAGTCGTCTGCTACCACATCTCACATTTGTGTTTATTTATTCTACTGTGGGGTGGTATTTATCTTATTTATATGTTATGCATCGTGTTTATTATATAATTTTGAAAAAATATCATAGATGGATTAATGAAAATGTGTATATTAACGTAATATACGACATTTAAATGACTCGATGATTATTATTATCATTATAATATGACGTCTGGAGACATAAGACACTTACCAATTTTAATGTGTACCTGCATGCCAGCACAGTATGTAAGTTTATTTAGGTACAGGTATACATAAGTATAATTATCAGAGTATATAAAATATGAAATAACTTTTAAAAACATTTGAAATTTTGGAGTTTCCAGACAAAATGGAGAGACTTAGTGCTTACTGAGCTCATGGAGAATGTAAACAAACAGGGTGGGGCACGGTGACCGTATTAGAAAGTCAGGTGGGGGGAGCCGTATAGCGAGTTTTGGTCATAATTTGAAATGTCCGTATTAGTGGAACGCCGTAAAGTGAAACGCCATAAAGCGGGGCCTTCCTGTACATGTATGTGTAGCATAGGTAGTAGGTTGGTAGACAGCAGCCGCCCAGGGAGGTACTACCGTCCTGCCAAGTGAGTGTGAAACGAAAGCCTGTAATTGTTTTATATGATGGTAGGATTGCTGGTGTCCTTTTTTCTGTCTCATAAAAACGCAAGATTTCAGGTATGTCTTGCTACTTATACTTACACTTAGGTCACACTACACATATGTGTACAAGCATATATATACACACACCCCTCTGGGTTTTCTTTTATTTTCTTTCTAGTTCTTGTTCTTGTCTATTTCCTCTTATATCCATGGGGAAGTGGAACAATTCTTCCTCCATAAGCCATGCGTGTTGTAAGAGGCGACTAAAATGCCGGGAGCAAGGGGCTAGTAACCTCTTCTCCTGTATATATTACTAAATTTAAAAGGTGAAAATTTTGTTTTTCCTTTTGGGCCACCCCACCTCAGTGTGGCATGGCTGGTACATTGAAAGAAAGATGTGTGCATAGTGTGACCTAAGTGTAAGTAGAAGTAGCAAGACATACCTGTAATCTTGCATATTTATGAGACAGACAAAAGACACCAGCAATCCTACCATCATGTAAAAAATTACAGGCTTTCGTTTTACACTCACTTGGCAGGATGGTAGTACCTCCCTGGGTGGTTGCTGTCTACCAACCTACTACTATATACACCTACCATCCGACTTACGACCGAGTTCGGTTCCGAGAAACCGGTCGTAAGTCGAAATGGTCGTAAGTAGAACTTTACTACTGAATATCAACAAAACATTTTTGTAATGACTTTATTTTATTGTTTTATTTTAGTATTTCATGTTTTACTTTGCTTTTTATGTTGTTAGTACTGTGTTTTATACTGTAAGGTTTAGGATAAGCACTGTGTACAACACAAATAGTTGTGTATTTCCCAGAAATTTGGCATAAAAAACACGGTCGTAAGTCGAACAGGTCGTGAGTCGGATGGTAGGTGTATTATATTATATATATTATAGTATATATTATACTCTATATATTTAATTATTTAATGAAATCACGAAACGAGTGATTTTGAATCATTAACAGAACTTCAGCTAGCCAGGATTCAATCCTGCATCACAATGCCCAGCCCTGCAGGAAAAGAACAAACTACACATCCCTCTTTCCACTTGACCATCAATTCTCAATTGGTCAAGTGGACAGAATTGATGATCAGTTGGAGAGAGGGATGTGTACTTCATCCTGTTCTTACAGGGGTAGGCATTGTAACAGGGTCAAGTCCTGGCTAGCTGCAGTTTCTCTTTCTCCTTCTCTCTTTCTCTTCTTTCTTTCTGCTCTTTTTCTTTCTGGGGGTTGGTACGTGTGTGCATGCATGCTTGCCCCCCCCTCCTTCAGGGTGCAGGCACTGTACTGTATATAAATTAAATATATAACTTTAGAATAGTGCTATTAATCTTTGTGGAACTTTGTGAGAGAAACTTGTCCTAATAAAATGTTTTGTTAAATATCTGCCATATATATGTAGTTTTAAACCTTACTCATAAAAGTGTACCAGCTTGTAATTCATTGAAAATTTAGAAGTCATTATGTTAGTTTTAGGTCGAGGGAAAGGCGACACCAAACGGGATATGCGCCGTGGTGCTTCTCCGTTGCCACCCAGTAGCTCCTCGTTGTCACCAGGTGGGCCAATAATGGGTGGAAAGGGGCCCATGATGATGGGGTGTGGTAACCCAGGAATGATAAATATGGGCCATCACAATGTGGGTGCTCTTGGTCAGAGGCATCCTTCAGCATCTTTGCAGCCACCAAACCTGGGAATATCACGAGGAAATCAGCAAAATCTTAATAACATCAGAGGTAAGTGTCTAAACTCCAAAAGAAAGCCCACAAAAGGATATTTTAAAATTCAGATTCAACTGCATTTCACATGCAGCTTGCAGAATGGACAGGAGTCAAACCCATGGCAAACCAGTCCTAAAACTAACTCGTCAGTTGTAGGACTGTTTTGCCATGGATTTGAATGCTGAACTAATGAGATTTTGTGAATATGTATATTTCTGTAAAATAGATAAGTTTAGTACTTCCCTTCCCTTCCCTCTATGAATGTAATAATTCTATACAATAGGAAGGGTAGCATGGTCCAAACTGTAACCACAAATGAAGACTTTTACAGACAAGTGTCTAATCATGGCTGGGATAAGATATAAATCAGATCCTTTATCAGGTAAGCATGGTACAGGGGTAAGATCACTAATCTTGTAGCTTTAGTACTGGCTTTCCCTGGTTTTGAATCCTGCCCGTTCTACAAGGTTTTTTGTTATTATTATTATTATTATTATTATTATTATTATTATTATTATTATTATTATTATTATTATGCAGCGGCCGTCTCCCAGGGTGACCTAAAACACAAAGCTTTTCATTTTTCTTTTTTCATTTAGTAATAAGTGTTTCTATATCCAATGTTTTAAGGAATTGCATATTAACTATTCAGAGAAGCCTTACAAAAGATGAAAGTATGCACAGATATTTCTTTCATGATCTTTATATATTTTTACCTGCAATGACTGTACAGATTTTTTTCTGAAATTTGATAAACCATTGAGGAACATCAGGGTATAGAAGAGGGCTTGCCCCCCTCCTCCTCTAAAGGCTCTCTGGCTAGACTATAAATATTTGTAATTCTTAAAGTAACTAGTTTTCAGTTTAGGTGTCATGCACCAAGCTCAGTGAAAATGGGCATTATTAAAAAAATTATTTTACTGGTATACCACACATGTACCTCAGTACCATGTACAAATGTTAATGCATTTCATAAGCAAATAGCAAAAATAAAATGCTTAAAAAATTGTCACTTGAACCTGGCCTCAAAAAATACAAAACTGAAAGAGCTGTGTATAAATGAAGTGGGGACCAATGTTACCCTTCTGAGTGTCCGTCCCGCAGTTCTACGGTTTGAAGCCAGGGTCCAAACAGTAGTACATACTACATCATGAGCTCAGCTCACTCAAATATGCTGCGAGTGGTAAATTTGAGCCTAGATATGAGAGAATGCATCTGTGGTAAGTGTGCACCACATAAAACAAATCCTGCAGCATGCAGTGCATGATAAAAAAAAAAACTGCGATTCTGTTTTTGGATTAAAACAGCGACTTTGCAGTGTATTTTTGTATGGTTTTTATGGTTGTATTCATGGTTTTTTTTGGTCTCATTTGATAGAATGGAAGATACATATTGCAGAAATAGATGATTTTGATTGGGTTTAGTACTGAGAATAGCTTGAGATTGAGCTCAAAGTACAGTAGTGGAAATGTTTGATTTTTTGCCACTGTTCAAGAGTAAACAAATCACATCATGTCTCCAACACACGTCAGCTGGTGGGTCTGTTGTACGTTCATGAATGTGCTAATATTTATACAATTATTGCAGTATTGCATAACAGTAAATCTTCTAATTTTTAGTGTGAATAAAAATTGTTTGTGAATAAAAAAATCAAAATGGAATTCATTTGTAAAGCCTGGAAACATAACTAATAAGCAGAGGATATGTTATTTTAGTGCCAGGAATGCCTGCATTGTTTATTCTGGACCCTATTTTGAAACTGGAATATTTTGAACTTTGTGTGAAACTGCCCAAATTTCCAATTTCCAATCACTTTATTGGGAAGTTGAAATAGTTGATTGGGTGATTTCCTGTACTCAATAGATAAAATGGAACACATTCTAACTAAATAGCTAAGAATTTGGTCTAATGAAATAATGTAATTGGCTGATAATAGGACTCAAAGTGGGCAAAATTGCTGACAGCAAAATTCACGCGAGCATAGTTTCGTCAATTTTTTTTTTTTTTTTTTTTTTTTTTTTTTTTTTTTTTTTTTTTTTTTTTTTTTTTTTTCAAAATTTCATACGTTTTGTTTTATTACCTTCAGAAAAAGATTCTCTACCATTTCATAAGAAAAAAATGATAATAATAATTATTATTATTTTTTTTAACAGGTCAGCCATCTCCCACCGAGGCAGGTTGACCCAAAAAGAAAGAAAATCCCCAAAAAGAATACTGTACTTTCATCATCATTCAACACTTTCACCTCACTCACTCATAATCACTGTTTTTGCAGAGGTGCTCAGAATACAACAGTTTAGAAGCATATACGTATAAAGATACACAACATATCCCTCCAAACTGCCAATATCCCAAACCCCTCCTTTAAAGTGCAAGCATTGTACTTCCCATTTCCAGAACTCAAGTCCAGCTATATGAAAATAACCGGTTTCCCTGAATCCCTTGACTAAATATTACCCTGCTCACACTCCAACAGCTCGTCAGATCCCAAATACCATTCGTCTCCATTCACTCCTATCTAACACGCTCATGTACGCTTCCTGGAAGTCCAAGCCCTTCGCCCACAAAGCCTCCTTTACCCCTCCCTCCAACCTTTTCGAGGACGACCCCTACCCTGCCTTCCTTTCCTTACAGATTTATATGCTCTCCATGTCATTCTACTTTGATCCATTCTCTCTAAATGACCAAACCACCTCAACAGCCCCTCTTCAGCCCTCTGATTATTACTTTTATTAAGTCCACACCTCCTAATTTCCACACTCTGAATTTTCTGCATAATATTTACACCACACATTGCCCTTAGACAGGACATTTCCACTGCCTCCAACCACATACTGCAGCATTTACAACCCAAGCTTCATACCCATATAAGAGTGTTGGTACTTTCATATATTCCCTTCTTTGCCTCTAAAGATAAATTTTTTTGTCTCCACATATACCTCAATCGACCACTCGCCTTTTTTCCTTCATCAATTCAATGATTAACTTCATCCTTCATAAATCCATCCACTGACACGTCAACTCCCAAATATCTGAAAACATTTTCTTCCATACTACTACTCCCCAATTTGATATCCAATTTTTCTTTATCTAAATCATTTGATACCCTCATCACCTTACTCTTTTCTATGTTCACTTTCAACTTAGTACTTTTACACACACTCCCAAACTCGTCTACTAACCTTTGCAATTTTTCTTTAGAATCTCCCATAAGCACAGTATCATCAGCAAAAAGTAACTGTGTCAATTCCTATTTTGTATTTGATCCCCCATAATTTATTCCCACCCCTCTTCCAAACACCCTAGCATTTACTTCTTTTACAACCCCATCTATAATTATATTAAACAACCATGGTGACATTACACATCCCTGTCTAAGACCTACTTTTACAGGAAAGTAGTCTCCCTCTCTTCTACACACCCTAACCTGAGCCTCACTATCCTCATAAAAACTCTTTACAGCATTTAGTAACTTACCACCTATTCCATATATGTACTTGCAACATCTGCCACATTGCTCCTCTATCCACTCTATCATATGCCTTTTCTAAATCCATAAATGCAATAAAAACTTCCCTACCTTTATCTAAATACTTCTCACATATATGCTTCAATGTAAACACTTGATCTACACATCCCCTACACATACTAAAACCTCCTTGCTCATCCGCAATCCTTCGTTCTGACTTACCTCTAATTCTTTCAATAATAACCCCACCATACACTTTTCCTGTATACTCAGTAAACCTCTTTCTTTCAATGTACCAACCGTATCCCACCAAGGTGGTGTGGCCCAAAAGGAAAAACGAAAGTTTCTCCTTTCAAATTTAGTAATATATACAGTAGGTTACTAGCCCCTTGCTCCCGGCATTTTAGTCGCCTCCTACGACACGCATGGCTTACGGAGGAAGAATTTTCTTCCCCTTCCCCATGGAGATAAGAGGAAATAAACAGGAACAAGAACTAGAAAGAAAATAGAAGAAAACCCAGATGGGTATGTACATATATCCTTGTACATGTATGTGTAGTGTGACCTAAGTGTAAGTAGAAGTAGCAAGATGTACCTGAAATCTTGCATGTTTAAAAGACAGAAAAAAGGACACCAGCAATCCTACCATCATGTAAAACAATTACAGGCTTTCATTTTACACTCACTTGGCAGGACGCTAGTACCTCCCTGGGCGGTTGCTGTCTACCAACCTACTACCTAAACTTCAGTAAACTTATTCCTCTATAATTTTTACAATCTCTCATGTCCCTCTTCCCTTTATACAAAGGGACTATACATGCTCTCCGCCAATTCCTAGGTACCTTCCCCTCTTTCATACATTTATTAAACAAAAATACCAACCACTCCAACACTATATTCCCCCCTGCTTTTAACATTTCTGTCATGATCCCATCAGCTCCAGCTGCTTTACCCCCTTTCATTCTACGTAATGCCTCATGCCCCTCCCCCACACTCACATCCTTCTCTTCACTCCTTAAAGATGGTATACCTCCCTGGCCAGTGCATGAAATTACCACCTCCCTTTCGTTGTCGACATTTAAAAGCTTTTCAAAATATTCTCACCATCTACCCAATACCTCTATCTCCCCATTTACTAGCTCCCCTTCTCTGTTTTTAACTGACAAATCCATTCGTTCCTAGGGTTTCTTAACTTGTTTAACTGTAAACGGTCCAAACGTATATATGTATACTAGTTTTTACCACTAGTGCCCTAAACGTATATAATATATGTTTTATTTTTCCTGCCTTCAAATTTGGCACGATTGGCCTGAGATGCCTTGTCAGCATAGTATGGGTTCTAACACTCAGTGTGTGTGGTATTAAAAAAATCTGGGAACACTTAGTACCTTGTGGGAGCACCAGTTCAAATGAGCGCCAGTTAGAGCAAACACCGCAGCAAACACCTGGGATTGACTGATGTCATGTAGTATTAACACTCCTATTTTAAGAGGAAAGTGATTTTGACCCTGAATTTAGTGGCTTTGAGGTGTATGTGTAAGTAATTAAGTTTATTCAGGTATACACAAATACAGTTACATAGAATTATCATACATTGCAGCGTATGTGTAGAGAACCTAGGATAACCCAAAAAAGTCAGTCAGAGTGACTTATTTCCATTGAGGTCCTTTTACCTTATTTTTTATTTTTCTATTATCACACTGGCCGATTC